AAGGGACCCGGCTGCAGTACCATTATGAGGCTTAGAGTCGCTTTCTGCCTCTGCAGACCCTTTCCGATCCCTGAGAAGAAAACGTGGCGCTCGAAAATGCGTATACCTTATTTTTATGTTGAAACAAGGGCACAGAGATGTGCTGATGTCAGCTAAATAGCCCTCGTCGTGAAAGCTTCGCCGCTCGACGCCTCGCGGTGTTGTCCGACCGACGGCCGGCGTCGCGGGGACCCCAGGGACGTGGCAGGGACACTGCCCGGATCCGGCAACCTTCGGTCCGATGCTCCTCTTCCTCGCCCCGCCGTCCCTTCCTTCCTTCTCCGCGTTTGTCCTCTTATTTTCATTACTACTTTCATTTCTTCCACTTTTGAGCCTGATCTGTCCGCAGCTATTTTGTCCCCGCTCCTCCGACCTCGCTCTCCTGATGTTCGACTCATCCCTGTGGCCCTGTCATCGAGTTGCATCACACATACCGCCTCGCTGAAGAAAAACGCCGTATGAGCCTTCAGGCGTTACCAAATTTCCTTCGATAAAAAACGGATTTTCAACGAAGTTTTTGGACGTTTTTCTTCTAATTTTCCAGAGAGTTGTATTCAAAATTTGATCTAAAGTATGTGGAAATTTCGAGGAAAAATACTCATGACTATCCTCAAAATCAATGTTTTGTCAGGGGAAATTTGGCAACCCCTGAAGGCGCATACGGTGTTTTTCCTTAGCACGACAGCATGTAGAGATAGTGATTTCTTGTATGGAATTTTGATTTCCTCCTCTTTTCGAACATTCATGAAGTACTGGTGTCTTGCACTTATTAGGAAAAATCTTTGTGGATACTATGAGCATTATTATCGCATTGATGAAGTAAAAAATCTCGGTTGATTTTGACTTTATTGCCAAAAAAAGGCCACTAGCCCCTACGCATGAGCCTATCGGTTCATCGTGGACAGAAAAAACTGCAAAATTTCGAGTAATAAAACAGGCTTTTTCGCAGAATAAACCTTGCATTCGATACAGAGGTCATCACTTAATCGAATGTAAAGTTTTATCCGGGAGGAGTTCTGCTTTTATTTTTCTGAATTTTGCAATTTTTGGAGATGAAAATGGTTTCTTTGTCCCACGCGAAGGGGCTATTGTCCTTCATTTGGCTAAAAATTTGAAATCTAACATTGGAAATTGAAACTTTTTGTTCAGATATTTCTTTTTATTTTTTGCTGATATATTAACTGAAATAATCAAAACATAATTTTTGACCAGCGTATTTGAACAATTTGAAACAACAGGCGGCATGATACGCTCCTACGCTGAACTCGGTTCAGTGCGTCCAATCAACAAGCCTCCTAAAAAAGAGTAAGCGACCCTGGTGGGTGTAGAATAGTCACCTTGGACATTGTCACTCAAAGGAAAAACGCAGTATGAAAACTCGAATGCTGCCAAATTTACCTCGCTAAAATACGAGTTTTTAAGATAACTCGTGAATAATTTTCTTCCAGTTTTTCATAGAATTTTACCCGTAGCTACCCCTAAATTATAGAAAAATTTCAAGGAATAGTGGTCATAACTCTCCATAATAATTAAGAATTTTATCGGGAGAATTTGGCAACGTTTGAATGTTCATAGAGTATTTTTCCCTACCCCTGCAGAATGGCCGTCAACGCAGCATGGTGGAGATGTAGGGAGGTCATGTGAACACGACAGGTTATCGCCGGCCGGGAAAATTGGGGACGACACGAAGGGGGAAAGAGGGACAGGGAGGGGGCGATCGGGAAGCCCGGGGAAAAGACAAAAAAACCGGGAAGATAAACAGTGGGAGGGAAGAATAATAAAACGGTATTTTACTTGTAAAGCACACATATTTTTGAGGTTATTTGATCCGGGCACGGCGACCGCGGTCTACGGGCCGGGGACTGGCCGCGGCATTTGCGAGCCACGCCGCACGGTGGACCGAATCAATAGGAGAGGTCGGACAAAATTTGGAAACTTTAAAAGCTCATAACTCCGTTTATACTCAACTTTGAGGCTCTAAAAATGGTTCCATTGGTTTCCTCGTAAAATTTTCTCCTAAAAGCACCCCTTGAAGTTTGAAATGTGACGAAATCAACATCAAAATTTGCAGTTTTAGTAAAAAATTTCATGTCCGACCTCTCTGATTGACTCGATTCATTGTGCGCCGCCGCGGTCAATATGATCTTTTCACAAAATAAACACCGCCCAGGCAGCGCTGCCGATGTCGACGCGGATATTTACCGATTTTATAATGCTTTTCATACGCTGAAAACAAAAGTTACGGGCTATACCGTCTGTCCCGGGCTCAGAGGCCCGGAAACTTGCGGGTGCTGGAGCCGTAGTTTCGATGATTGCTCCGGGTGCAATGCCCGGAAGTTTCGGCCTCTGAGTCGGGAACAATAACAACAAACAATTGAAAATAAAACTAAAAAATAATGCCTATTATAGTTTAAAAGAATTTTTCGAAGAACCTGTATAATTTCATTTTGCTTAAATTGTTGTAATTGTTGTATAAATTGTAAATTTGACTTGTGGCAGAGCTTTTTACTATAGACTGTATGCATCAATAAATTCTATTTTCTACCTATGTGTCGGGAACATGGACGGCATGTCTATAAAGCCCTTAAACGACTTCCACGGCCTGAGTTTTTTTTCAGTGTATGTTTAAAATCGGCTTTTTGAAGAGTGGAACAATGTTTTTCCTTCAATATTTAGTATAGGCAAACCAGTACCGGAATGCACGAATAGTTGCTACATTGCGCCTTGCAATAGATATTCGGCATGTACCTATAAATGGATTACGTTTTGCAAGAAGGAACCACAAGTATTCCAATGTCGCTAAGATTGTGCAAATTTTTTTACCTTGTAAATATAAAGTGATCATCTAAACAAGTTTTATCTTTACTCCCAATTAACTATAATTTCAAGGCGAAAAAAAACCCTCGTTAATTAAATTTTTTGGTTGATTTCAGTGATTCAATTGCAGAGAATGTAAGTAGCACTCTCTTAGCAACATCGGATTGCTCTTAGTTCCTTCTTGCAAAATGCATTCCAAATCAGTGTCCCTTAATGGTGCGAGATAAGGTAATTTAGGCGTATAGAAGTATAGGCAGTATAGAAGTCGGTGAATTCCTAATCTTCACATAATTAGGATTTGGCAAGTACTTGTGCTGAAAGGAACTATTTAAACAGGAAAAACTGAAAAAGAGCTGCATGGTTTGCATGTTGCGCGTTCTCTTTGATGTTGTTCACCTGTAAATTGCTCTTTTTAGCATAAATACGCCCAACTGTGATTATGTTACGGGCAAATAAGTTGTGCAAAGGGGAAACGCCGTATGAACCTTTGAGCGTTTCAAAATTTCTTCCGAACAAATTTTATGATATACTGTTGATTTTTATTTTAATCTTTGCAGGAAATAGTATTAGTTTTTTCCCCAGCGTATACGAGCATTTTATAGGGGCGAACTATTCGTAAATTTTCTCATGAATAGATATTTAGTCGGAAAAATTTGACAACCCTCGAATGTTCTTACGGCGTTGTTCTTCAAGGCGGCTCTTTGACACTTTGGAGCACGATGTGATAGTTAATGGATGAATTGATGCTATCTGGACTTTAGGAAATTTCTTCGAAACCTCCGGGCATCACATCACACTGTAATTCGTCGGGTATCTGTACGCCAAATTTGACGAGAGGCGTATCCCAAAAGTCCAAAAGTACTTAGACCGGGTTTTGACGAGTCGCATGGCGCATGTGTGACTTCGGCTGGGCGGTGACGAATCACCTGGGCATCTACAAGAAAACGTTGTCCAAGCTCAGCATGAACTTGGAAGCACGATTCGCTCGATTAGCAGCCTCCGAGCGCGATCCGAATCCGAAAAATTCCGACAGGGGTGGACGCCCGAAGTAAGACACTCGACGGACCCTCGCGGGCTCGTGTCCTTCAATGATCAAGCAGGCAAAAGTCCTCTGCCTCTCGATAACGCCCCCCTGGCTCAAAAAATAGGCGAGTATTTACTCTCTCCTCCGTCAAAAATCGGGGAAACCATTCATATTCAAATGGAAGATAGGCGGCATTGTCGAGTAATTACCATAGATTTCGTGACAGGCAAATTCTATTCCGTCCCCGGCGACCCTGGCGGCTCGTAAAATGCACCGCGTGAGGCAGGAAGGAACCAAGTCACATCAGATGTTGCCAAATTGAACTGCGCAATTTAATTTAATACAAGAGAGCGCTTGTGCGGATTCCTTTGAAACTTTGAAGGAATTTTCCTCGCACTATGCAGAAAATTCAACGAAATTTGCACGCAAATCCGCACAACCGTTTCAATGTAAAAAGTTGAATTGCCCAGCTAAATTTGGCAATAGCTGATGTGACTTGGTTCCTTTCTGCTTAACGCGGTCCAAGTAACCCCTTCATTCACCAATCTGAATACTTCCTCTTCCGGGCTTTATGCGGGCTGGCTCCGGGGATAAAACCTCCGCGGATAAAACCTTCGTAAAAAAACAGGTAAAGAGCGGGACCGTCGCACAAAGGTCCGAGTCAATGGGGGTTGTTGGACATACTATAAAAGCTTGTATCTTCGTCAATATAAAACGTAAAGGCTTAATAGCGGTTCAGTTGCTTTGCTCGTAAACTTCATTTTAAAAAACACCCATTCGTTTGACGAAATAAACATAAAAATTCGCAGTTTTAGTAAAAACTTTAACGTTTGATCTCTCTCGAAGTCTCGACCCGTTGTGCGCCGTCGCAGGTTCGAACTGTGAAAAGGGGGAGGTATTTTTATTCTAAAGAGCGATCCTTCCCCTTGGAACCGAAACGTGTCTAGGTTAAAATGCTCCTATTGTCAATCTCATCCATTTAATTTTTTTTAGGCAGGCTGTGTGTATATGTGTCAGGAAAAGGAGGTGAAAAAAATGAAAGGGTTGAAGCAGGATGTGCCGGCGGTATTTCCTATTTTACCTGCTCCGATCAGTCTTGCCTGAGCTGTTTCGGTCGACGTCGAAAGGTTGAGGTCTCTCGACACCGGTTCTTTCTGTGCTCCTGACTCTGGAGTTGATTTTCTTGTGATAAGTGCTGGTTAGAGTAAAGTTCTCTTGAGGGCGCCCTTTCGAAATGTGGTCTACTCACTTAGAAGAGATCACATCGGGTAGCACCTACGAGCGCGGTGTGTGATTTTGGATTTTAAAACTTGCATTATCTCACTTTTAACGGTAATTTCACTAAATTTCATTTTTATCTTTAGCCAAGTATTAAATGGGTGGTTTATAGCCAAATGGACCGAGAGGTTGTCTCTATTAGAAGCAAGGATTCTGTTTGATAGTTTCTGGGAGGGCTATTTAGGGTAAATCAAAATCGTATTTTAACAACACGAGCTTTTACTTACTTTAAGTTATATCTATTTCTTAGCATGGATAGTTTTTCCGGTTTTTCTATCCTTTTTCAAGCTAAAAAATCCGAAAGACCTTTCGTCTAAGGAGGCAAGGATTCTGTATTTAAGTATAGGTTGGTAGAAATCTCTATGAAAGTCATCGTAAGTTGAATGTGGACGTTTTCCCCTCCTTTATATTGAAATTGTCGGTTCGAAAAGTGTTTGGTTAAGTTTTTTTGTTTTTGTTTTCGGAAATTGACTTTTTTTGGAGAGAAAATTTGTATCGATCTGCGACTTGAACTTTTATGTCCTGGCAAGTCTCGAATTTTAGAAGAGCACTCTGTTTCTTCCCCAAGATTGACTTTTTTCGGAGAAATACTCTCAGGTTGACTTTTCTTGCAAAAGCACGCTGGGTTGACTTTTTCCGGAAAAATACGCTTGGGAGAGATTTTTTTCTTTTTTCAACTGTTTTCAACAAATTTTCCGATTCATTATGGTGAAATAATTTTAAGAGGAGCGAACTTTTTTGCACTGCCGTAAAAAATAAAATGTTTTTTTTTTGCTCTACGAGTAACCTATGAAAAATTAATAATAAGAAATTTAAAAATTCACACATAGTTCCATCTATTCTAAACAATGCTTCGAACAGTCAGCTCATTTCTCTCTGAACAACTGACTCTGTTTGTTGATTACAGTCTAGAGATCGCGTCAAATGTGAACCAAGAAAAAGATTTTTGCAGTTCTACACCTAAGTTAGACTCAATGTAAAGTTTAATGACAGTTTACACATTCAAATTAATATTTCTGAACCAGGAATTTTTTAAAAGGAGAAAATTTAAGAATGGTTTAAATCAAACCTACTCCCAACTAATTCTTTTTACTCTACATAAGACTTGGTGCGTTTCTGTCAAATTCAGACTAAACCATAGATGTTAACCCATATGCAAGTCATTTGCATCTAAGAATGACTCGCTCACCATTATTTGCACACAATCTCTTCAAAATAATGACTAATGAAGTTAGGTAACTTCAACGGACCGCTTTAAGCAGAAAGGAACCAAGTCACTTCGCTATTGCCAAATTTAATTTTTACATGTAAACGATTGTGCAAATTTCAATGAATTTTCTGCAGAGTGCTAAGCAATTTTTTTGAAATTTTCGAAGGAATTTGCATGAACGGTCTCTTGTAAAAAATTAAATTTCCTTGTTAAATTCGGGAATAGCTGATGGCCTGGTTCCTTTCTGCCAACCGCGGTCCAAATTAGTCTTAAAGGTATTGGAACTCAAGTCCATGGTAGACGACGAAAATTGATAGAATAAAACTCCCCCGTCTTTGAGACCGCCCTCCATGTTTTGGCTCGAAGTAAAGTGGACGGAAAATTTCTTTCGCGCGCCTTCCGTAACCGCGTTTGTTTTCCGACCGAGGAAGCGCCCACATCCTCAAATAATGTTGAATAAAATTTGACGCAAGACGTTACACAAGGCTCGCTCAAACAGGGGAGCAAAAAATAAACAAGGAAACCGATACATTACCCCTCAACGAAGTTACCTCGCCAATATCCGTCGGCGGAAATCATATTTGACCGGTTTTCATCTTCTCTTATACGTGCTCCTTTATCGATAGGTCTTATTTGAGGCTTTTTGTAACTGCATGAGGCTGTATTGACCCGTGAAGGAATTAGCATAGCGTTTTGGATGTTTTTTGGACTTTTTATCGCATTTTTAGTGGGAGACGTGAAATGAGAAGGGGTATAAGGGGGTCAGAAGGTCGGAGAAGTATCCGCTTTTTATTATTTCTTGAACTGAGGCAAAATAATAAAAAAATCGCACCTTTTCTCTTGTGAAGTTTAGTGAAGTTTGTTAGAGCAAAAATAAATAAATTTATTAATACATAAATCAACAAATACCTATTAAAAAAGTCATAATAATGCAGACATGTATTTATTTATTTGTATTTTATTTGAATGTTTGCGGAGTATGTAAATAAGCGATTGAGCTATACCCTACTTTCGCTCCCAAATTTCAAATTATGACAGTGTTTCACCTAATTTTGTTTCTAGAGTTTCTTCTTTTCTTGCTTTAAATTACTCAAGTGATTGAGTTACGGTATGGTTATTCACAAGTGTCTTTGGAGGCGCTCCTTATATTGGCTTTACATATAGAAGACCTGAATCTAGAATAAAAATTATTTTAATAATAATACATTTTAGATAAAATATAGGGAATGATTTTCATCTAGTTCTACTTAATTATGAAAATCCATCCATCTTTCCATCTTTGTGTGTCTCAATTGTTAAAAGCACCAAATAAACGTATCTACCAACCATACATACCATAATTATATCCTAATTTAAAATGCCTCAGGGTAGCGATGAACATTAATCAAAAGTATTAGGTGTGTGCTTGATATTTTTTCATCAACATTATTTCACATTTTTAGGACTAAAAATAAATATGAAATTAAAATAGAAATCAATAATTCCAAAATAGTTAAATTGAAAATATACAAATCAATAATGGCACAGGAAGAGACCAAAACATGTTTTAATATTTTTGAGAGGAGCAAAAAAAAAAAAGCTTAACTCTAATATTGCATTGAAATATTGGTAACTAGGTATATACATATGAAACGGTAATAGAGGCCTTTTTTTTGTAATTTTTGTTGTTGTTGCAGACTTTCCTCTCTATGATGACAATTTCATTGAAATTTAATCTGAAAGTTTGAAAGGAAAATCATTTTAAATCAAAGAAGAATTTTGATAGTGAACTCATAAATAAATCTAAAAAGGTAAAGATAAATTGCGCAAACTTTGAAAGCATTATCATTTTTAAAATGTAGGTAAAATGCTGCAAAAAATTTGCAATGAAGCAAAGGTGAATTTTTTGGATTTTTCTCCCTTGAGCCAACCCCCGGCGGAAATGACTAATTGAGTCCTGTGCCCGAGCTGAAGGTGCAGTTACAACAAAACGTTACAACGTTAAGTTACAACAAATTACATACATTTGCTTCGATCATAATGGGTGAAACGTTAGCTGAGATTTTGAGACACTGAGACGCACAACCAAGAAATGCCCTTTTTGCACCCAGCGCCTCCATTATGCTCGTATGTACGTGGTCTTATACAGTGAAAAACAATTCTCGGCGTTTTTACCAAGGTCCATTGGTACCTTTGCCATCTCATTTTTTTAACCAATTATTGGTAATTTTACCAAGACAGACTGGTAAGCTTACCTAGAAACCGGTATTTTCACTGTTTTTTTCAGGTAAGAATACCACTTTTATCGGTAATCAATTCCCGGTAACTTTGCCATTTTATCTCGGTAATTCTACCATTGTCGATAAAAAATATTGGCGTTTCACCAAGGTCCAATAAAATTACTGAGAAAGTCCAATAATTTTACCGAGATTTCTCGATAAAATTACCGATTCCATAAATAGTAATTTTACCAAGAAAAAACTGGGATCAAATAGAACCCTGAATTCTTGGTAATTTTACCCTTTTCTCAGTAAATACATCCAGATTTGTTTTTTCAGTGTAGCTGACATTTTGAGACACTGAGACACACAACCAAGTAATGCCCCTTTTGCACCCAGCGCTTCCATTATGCTCGTATGCGCGTGGTCTTATAGTTATGATAAATCCCTTCAATTTGAAAAAAAAAAAAAAAAAAAAAAAAAAAAAAAACCAAATCTTAGATAATCCTCTCGGACCCAAATCCGACGCTCGCCATCAGTCACATCTGACAAGATCATAGCTATCGCGCATCGGGGGAATGGGCGAGGGCCTTGGAATGAGGAACAAGGGACACGGAGTGGAGTGTCGGGTGTCCCTGTCCCTTGTCATCCATTTTTGATGGCGACGTTGACCCTCCCACTCGGGGCCGGATTCGCCCGCCGACCGAGGGTCACTCGCACCCCACACCCCACCCCATACCCCACACCCTCGCACAATCTCCACCCCCGGACACGCCGCGGATTTTTCTCCCTTGAGCCGACTCCCGGCCAAAATGACTAATTGAGTCCTGCGCCCGAGCTGAAGGTGCGTCCTGCGTTGATAAATGGACCGCGTTAAACAGAAAGGAACCAAGCCACATCAGCTACTGCCAAATTTAACAGGGAAATTTAATTTTTTACGAGAGAACGTTTGTGCTGATTCCTTTGAAAATTTTGAAGAATTTGCTTTGTATTATGGAGAAAATTCATTGAAATTTGCACAAAAATCCGCACAACCGTTTTCATGTAAAAAATTAAATTGCCCGATTAAATTTTGCAATAGCTGATGTGGCTTGATTCTTTTCTGTTTAACGCGGTTCAAATGCAATCGCCCCTTGAGTCTTGACGAACCGTACCACGGTGCCATCGTGCACGGAAAATTCGAAGAGAAAATTTGAGAGGCTTGCAGAACAAGGTGCATAAGTGCAGTTTCTGAAAAAATTGAAATATTATTAATTTCAAGTACAACTAGATTGCATTTTGCAAAAAGGAACCGGAAGCATCGCAACGATGTTAAGATTGTGCAACATCATCCTTGCGATAAAATTACTGGAATAATGAATAAAATATGAAATTTACATGCTAATTTTTGTCTAAAATTTACAGTTTTTAGCGAGTAAAGTAGAAACCGTTAATGGATAAGCAGGTTCTCTGCCAAGACAAGAAGTGGCACAATCTTAGCAACATTGCGAAGCTCCTGTTTCCTTTTTGCAAAATGCTCTCTAATGTTCGCACGGCGTTCTTCCTTAGCACGGCAGAATACGTTCCACTCACCGCAAAAACACCGAAGATTTGGCTTTTTCAAATTTCAAGTTTTGGGGTCAATTTTTCGACCGGAAAACAGTCGC